GAAATGATCAGACAGGAGAGGGTTTCCAGGAAACACTGTTAAATGTTCAGTTTCTATGCCATATGTTAAAACAAGATCTAGAGTGTGATTAAAGTGGTGGGTGGGTTCTTGTACAGTTTGAGAGAAGCCAGTTGAGTCTAATAAATATTTTCACTCAGACAGTCAGAAATATTATAATTCTGATCATTTATCAGTACATGTCCACATCTTTGTATCTACGTATAAAACCAAAGCTGACGCTGTGAGACTTCAGAGGTGTGAACATCACAGCAGATGTGTTTGTGTCAAAGTGACTGAGGATCAAACATGAAGGAGATTTTCCTGGCCTGGCTTTTACAGCAGATAATAAATCCACCAATCAACATCTGAACATTAGCTGATGCTGCTGACGTGAAGCAGAGCAAAGTTACAGAGGTTTGATTAGACACAGCTGAGAGTAAAGTTTCTATTTCTTTGATCTTAAACTGCAGAAATGAGGTTTTGATGTCAGAGGTCATCAACCTGCAGCATCAGAAGCTGTGAGATGTTCAGCGTGTCCGTGTACGTGCTGCCGGCTGAACGATCCACGCTGTATGAAATCCATGTTCCTGCTCTCATTTCCTGTTTTAGCTGTTCGGTTCAAATAGTTTTGTGAGCTTTAAGCTGAGATTCTGGCATTTCTGGAAAAATACATTTATATTTAAAAATCGATTCAGGATTTAATGAATCGACTTTATTCAAACTAAAATCGATTTTTTAACCCACCCCTACTAATCACAGATTAAATGCCATGTTGAGGCATCTACACGGATGTTAAAATCACCCACAGTAATTATTTTATTTGAGCTGAGCACTAGATCAGACAGAAACTCTGTGTGAGGCCCGGGTTGTCACGTCTGAAGGTGAAGCTGACAGCGTGGAGTGACACCCAAAAACAGATGATGGAGGCAGAGTGAGGTGATGCAAACAAGCCGGCTGAGCAAAAGTACAAACAAAAACAAAGGAGACCGAGAGAAACTAACAAACAGCTAAACAAGCTAAACATTACACCTGAAACTGGAAGCTGGGAGGTTTGATTTTCACCCAGGTGTCATCCACATACCTGAACCAAGCACTTGGTTCCACAATAACATCTGAAGGGAAAACTCTGTGAATCAGGCCTTCATAGTGGAAACCAGTACTGATGGTGAGATGGAGAGAACAGCGTACTGGACAAGTTGAACTCTATAACTAGGAATGACTCCACATGTGATCTTTGATTGAAGCCGTCATGTCTTTGTGAGGCAGAAATAAGGTGGACACACAAAACCTCCCCTGTGGAGCTCTCAGCATGGAGGCTGTACTGGTTCTTGGGGATTGGCACTGGTGCCCATTTAATTACAGTCCCAGTAAGCACCCTCTGCAAACACATCGCTGACGTCTGCTCAGTGTCAGCGTTCCCACTCTCAGCTGCTCCCTTTAGGAGTCTCCACAGCCTCATCAGCCTCACCCTGTCCCAGCATCGCCCTGCATCTCCTCCTTCACCACATCCAGGAACCTCCTCTGAGGTCTTCCTCTTTCCCTCCTGCTTGGCCGCTCCATCTTCATCATCCTACGTCCAGTACATCCACCCTCCCTGCTCTGCACATGTGCGAACCATCCCAGCCTCTAGTCTGCTCACTCGCAGTGAACACCTGAGCATCTTCAGCTCTGCGTCTCTGTGTCAGTGCCAGCGTCTCCACATCACAGCAGCTCTCACTGCTAAAACCTTCACTCTCGCAGTTATCCTTCTGACACTCTTCTCCACCCACTCCACCCTGCCTGCAGCTCTCTCTGGATGGTCCCAGGTATTTCACTGTCTCTGCTCCTTACATGTTCACCTTTCCTCTGGTCTCATTCACACACATTCTGTCTTGTTTCTGCTGACTTTCATTCATACTCTCCAGGCTCTCCTCCACCTGCTCCCTCATCTGCAAACATCACAGTCCACAGAGACTCCAGCCTGACCTCATCAGCCTGACCTCATCAGCCTGTCCATCAGCGCTGCAGGTCCCTGATGTAATCCCACCCCCAGCTCACCTGTAGCTCCTCCCACACACAGTACCACAGTCAGGCCGTCTCTCCCTTTATACTCATAGACCACACACCTCCACACTCCTGCTGTTCCCTCTGACTTGCTGCCTGTCTTCGCACTTTCATCTCCGTCTTCATGATGGTTTTAAGCTGGATGACCTTCCTGACACAACCCTTCTCATTTGTGCCTCCACCCACACGTATCAATGATTTACTCTGTAAATCAGTTAAGAAAATCTAAAAACTGTGGTTTTTATCATCAACCATGTCTTGACTTGTTTGTGTTTGGACACAGACGGAAACATCACCGTCACCATAAACCTTCAGCCCCTGTTCTGTAGAGGTGGGAATCACCATACATCCCACGATACGATATTATTGCAATTTTTTAAAATATTTTGCGATATTCAGATTCTGTACATAAAGGTAAACTTTATCAATATTCATTTTCTCTAATATCAAAGTCTCACACTCAGTCTTTCTCTCATTTCAGTTTGATTGTTGACAAACTGAACGGTTTGTATTACAGTCTAGTCCAACTTAACTGAATCAACCATCTGGTACAATTATAGCTATTCTGAACTATGCAGTTTATGAAAACTATGCAGCCCCTTCAGCAACTGAAGAATTTGAAAGTAAATTAAAACAAAATATAATTTTACATTAAATCAAAAAGTTTTAAACTTAATTAAAATAAAACATGTCTTAAATTAAAATAAGTAAACTGTCATGTTTATTGCTGCCAAAAAAAAGTTAAACACATTTGGACAGTGAAGGAATGTCAGGATTCAGAAAAAGGATCAACATGCTCTGAAGTCAGAGCACAAAAACCTTTTTGTAACAAAGTATCGATTTCTGCTGTCCCTGTATCCATACATTATTAGCAAACAAAATATCACCATGCTACACAGTATCCATTTTTTCCCCCACCCCTACTGTTCTGTGTGCTGTAGTTGGTTCAGATGGTTTACAGTGACCTACAGTCAAACAAGCAGAACTGCATGCAAACACACTATTTTACTCAAAACACTGCAATACTCTGAACTCCAAAAGTAAACAGATTTTGCAGTTTTCAGTCATTTTTGGTCCTGAACAGGACAGCTTTCATCTGTTTGTTATGCGACTGAACTCTGACCTGTGAATCATTCAGGCTTGAACCAGGGTTACATCTACACACTATAGTCAACCAACTGTAAAGTGAGGCTGTCACTAAAACCAAACAAATGTCAAAGATGACAGTTTCACAGCCATTATATATTTTTGTTGTGTCAAGAAAACTCTCAAAGATCTTTTAGCCAGTAATTTGTGTGGATGACGAGAGAGGAAGATCAACAGTATCTGAATGTCAGTGAGAAACACGGACCTGAGAGATGCATCTGGACCTGCAGCTGACCAATGACTGGTCACTAAAGCCTCACCAGAGAAGGTTTCCGTGGCTGTAAAGAAGCCAGAGAAAAGGATCAAGTGTGAACATTAAACAGGACCTGGACTGAAAATCAGTCAAACAGGTCAGATGAAGTGATGACTTTTATATGCTACTTAAACCTTTAAGAGGAGGCCTGACCTTCTCACTGTGGAGCAGGTCAGGACAGACGTACAACAGTGAGTGTCTGCAGCCATCTGTAAAACACAGTACGGCTACATTTCAACCACTGGTGTTAGGATCTCGTCAAATTGGTGTGATTATAAAGACAGAAAAGTACCATAAAGTTCAGACCAACCATGCAGTTGCATCTGAAGAGCATCTGATGGACAGGAGCTTCATTTTTCAGCATGGCAATGATCCCAAATACTGTGAAGTAAAAGCATGTCTGGACAGAAAAACACAACGCTGTCAGTCGTGGATGGACCTCAGCCCAGACCTCACATCACTGAAGCAGTTTGGGAGAATCGTTTACAGGACACAGGGCAGAAACATCCAAAGAAGAGCTGTGGATGAACCTTTCCTGAAGACTACTTATAGAAATGACAGAAAAGAGGAACATAAATGTGCTCATACCAAATATCGTACTAAATATTTCAGCATCATCAGACTTGTACAAACTGCTAAGCTGGGAAATGGAAACAGGTACAGCAATTTTCAATAAATTTAGCGCTGTTAAAGCTAAACTAGTGCCATGTTATCAGTAAACACAAGTTAAATTGAACTGAACTGAATTTTGCAGTATTTTCTAGATGTTTCCCACCAGGACCTGTAATGGAAAGTTCCCAGGACTCATTGTAATCAAATGCAAAACCCCCTGACTCATTTTAAAAGGAAGAAGCATTTTCCTGAAGTCTATGTCTGAGAATCTCCCTTTGTCTGAGGAAGAAACGTCTGCCTTACAATAAGAAAGGTCCTTGTTTCCAGCCTGGACCAGGGCTCCCTATGCTCCGGGTGCTCCAACATCTCCCATCAGAAACATCCCAGCTTAATCCTCTGGTCAGTGCACCATTGACCACAGAGCTGGCTGAGAGCAGTCCAGTGCAACACTGAGTGAAAATAAAAGTGTTGTGCTGTCTGTGGCATCATCATCATACACAGACGGCCCTTTCGCTCTGATTAGAGGACATGCGACTCAGCCTGAACCTTCTGATTACTAAAGTGACCACACTGTGACTGTCAGTGGAGCACGTACACACATTAGTTTGTGGCTTCTGTTACATTTTCTGTTACATTTGTACAGAAACTATAATTCTCTTTAAGAAAAGGATGAGCAAACTTCTGTTCATTTCAAACTTTCAACCCAGTCCTGTAAGCCTGTGTCATGAAGCTTGGTCCTTCTTCTGCTCTCCTTCTTCCAGGTTGCAGCACCTCAAATGACCCCTGCAGAATCAGAAGATATCAGCAGCATTGCGGCGGTGCAGCTGAGGGTCCCAGACACCAACATGCCAGCCAACCCAACCAAGCAGCAGCAGCAGCAGCGATGCAGCAACAACCCCACGAGCTGTGACTACTCTCTCTTTGAACTGGAGACCTTCTTCACCCGCTGGGCCCCTGATAGTGACCCTGTGTCAGCTCCTGGTGGCTCTTCATGTGCATTTGTTCCTAACAAGTCAACTGAACGTGACCAGGATAGAGTTGTTATCGTAGACACTCGTCGACAGCCTTGGCAAGTGCTCGATCCACCACAGACCTCGACGTCCTCGACGTCCTCGAGCGGAGGGCAGAGTTTCTCCTCTGCAGGCCGTCCGTCTGCATCACAGGGTAACACTTTCCTCAGTACGGCCTCTGCATGCTGTTGTGTTGCCCTGCCTGTGTACACCTTCAGATGTTTGAACCAGTAGTGTGTGCTGTCAAAGCTTCCATTGGTGCCGCGTCGCAGTGGTCATCAAAGTGATAGACAGGTCGACAGCAGACGGGTGATTGTGTGCTGGAGCCACACAACTCCACTCACATTTAACTAACAATAATCTGTACGAACAGTTCCAGTCCCGCAGCACTGAAACAGCACTTATAAAATAACCAATGATCTTCTGATGGCAGCTGACTCTGGTTTACTCTCCATCCTTATTCTCCTCGATCTGAGCGCTGCCTTCGACACTATTTCTCACTCTGTTCTCCTCGGTAGGCGAGCCTCCATCGGTCTCTCCATACTCCACTAGCCTGGTTTAAATCGTACCTGTCTGATCGCACTCAGTTCATTCAACTCAACTCCTTCACTTCTCAGCCCTTCCCTCTGACCACTGGCGTGCCACAGGGATCTGTCCTGGGGCCCCTTCTTTTCATTATCTACCTTCTTCCGCTTGGACATAAATATAATATCCAGTTTCACTGTTATGCCGATGACACCCAGCTTTATCTGTCCACTAAACCTGATTCTGCTCTTTCCCCATCCTCCCTCACCCTGTTTAGCTGAACTAAATTCATGGTTCTCTTCTTATTTTCTCAAACTCAACAGTAACAAATCCGAGCTCCTCTTGGTCGGCACTAAATCAACATTATCCAGAACCAACAGTTTCTCTGTTACTATCAATAACTCGCCGGTCTTCGTTTCTTCCTCTGTGAAAAGTTTGGGTGTCATCCTCGACAGTACTCTATCTTTCAATTCACACATTAATAATGTCACTCGGTCTGCATGTTTTCAATTGTGCAACATTAATCGTCTCCGTCCTTTTCTCTCCCCACATGCTGCCATTCTTGTCCACAGCCTTGTTACTTCCTGGATCGATTACTGTAATTCACTTCTTTCTGGTCTTACTCAAAAATCCATCTACAAGCTTCAACGCGTCCAGAACTCTGCTGCCCGTATCATCACCAGGACCCTTCTGCCCACCACATCACTCCTGTCCTGCAGCAGCTTCATTGGTCAAATATCACATCAATTTCAAAATACTCTTGTATTTAAGGCTATTCATCATCTCTCTGATCTGGTTCAGATCACCGCCCCATCTCGGTGTCTCAGATCTTCTTCTTCTCTTTCTCTCTCCGTCCCCTCCCCCTGTTTTGCCACCATGAGGAGCATGAGCGAGGAGTCGAGTCGAGCTTTCAGCTCCTCGACTCTGGGATTCTCGACCTCCTGATTTAAGAATCACCTCCTTCTCTCTCTTTAGGTCCCAACTCAAAACTCGTTCAAAACAGCTTATCCCACATAACCTCTCCACTCTGCTATTTTGAATTTGTTTTATGTCTTATGCTTTTATGTTGCTTTTGTTATTCTGCTGTGTACAGTGTCCTTGAGTGTTCTGAGAGGCGCTTTCAAATAAAATGTATTATTATTATTATTAGTTAAGCTGAGGTCATTGTGGCAGCTGTTATTGCTGAAGCCTGACAGAAAGATAGAAGAAGAAGAAGATAGAAGAAGGTGATGAAAAGTCTCTATTGTACTGTTGCATGCTTCAGGGTCTGATGATGCTAATGTCACAGTCTGTGGACCAGCAGAGTGAGTGCAGTGAGTAGGACGCTGAGTCAGAACCAGAAAGGGTTTTATTGCCAAATGTTGAGCAGGTTTACAACATTAGGTGCTTAGTGCAAACATACTGTCAGACAACGCTTAAATAGACAGCAGATAGATATATTCATGAGTGCAGGTGGTGATCAGTGCAAACATGGGATGATGCAGTGAACACAGCGTAGGTCATGTGTTAGTGGT